AAAAAAAAAAAAATTTAATGGGCATAAAACTGCATACCCAGAATTTTTCTAAAAATTCTTAATAAAAAGTTTAAGAAAGATTTATGGCGTAATTGTTAAAGTTTGTTTAATTTTTAAAATTTTTGTACGAAGCTTGAAAAGTGGATTTATATAGTGCTGGTTATGTAATGTGCTAGATGTTTATAAAAGAAACTATAAACATTAAATAAACCAAAGAAAAAAACCAAAACCATATACAGTTTGTGAATTTGAATTTGAATAAAAAAAAACTAATTGTCGAAATTATTTGGGTTTTGGTAATATTTGGCATATTTTAAAATATGTATGTATATGTACTAGGGCTTTCGTTTTCTTCTCGCACATTCTCAAGCATTTCGATAGCCGGGAAATCGAGCAATTCTTGACACAGGCTGGGGTACCGACATTCTCACAAGCAATTTCGAGTAGTTATGGAGACATAGCATAACGAAAGTTTCGTTTTCTTTTCTCGAAAAAATGTCACCTTCTTATGTGGCAACCTTATCGGAGTGCAACATTTTAAAGAAAGAGCTCGCAATATGCATGTGAAGATGCTGAGAAAAGAACACGAAAACTTAACAGCCCTGGAGCAGGGCAGAATAAATGCAACATTGGGCCGTATGCATAAAAAATAAGCAATTGCTTTTACTTAAAATTGCATACCTTTCACTTAAAGTTATTTGAACAAATTGAGTAAAAGGTCTGAAATTTTAAGAAAAAGCATTTGCTTAGGTTCTATGCATACGGCCGTTTATTTCGAGAAAAATAAACGCTATAAGTCTCCGTTAAGTGTTTTTCATTAATTTTTAATAGAAATATAGTTCATACTGCATCAAAAGGCAGGTAAATTAATGTTGCAAAATTTTACAAAAATTTGGGAAAACTCGACAAATTTTCACCAAACTTTTAAACAAAATTTTTTAGAATTATTTGTGAGTATACAGTTTTGTAGTTCACTCAATTTCAGTATAATAAAGAGCAATTTTAAATAGTGTACTATATTAAATTGGTATTGTTGATGATGATGATGATGTTATTGATGAATTTAATTCAGAGTTGAATCAAATTTTTATATTTCATTTCAGCTGTCAACGCAGTTTTAAAGGATTTTTCCATTTTCAAGTCTTTTAAGGTAGGTGTTATTATTAATACTGTCTCTTGTACTTTAAACTCATAATTTGGAATCCCTTGTTGACATTGTTAC